ATTTATCTATAGCATCTAACGTATTGAAATCAATTGAACAAGCGGAAAGAAAGGTGAACAGCAATAGGCGCTTATCATTGTATAGTGTACAATCCATTATAAAATGGTGCTCATTTTCAATCATGTTTGGACAGAATGGACAGAACCGTTGGTCATTTGGTATTTTCTTGTATCGAATAAAGAAAATGTAAGTACAAAGGTCATTCACTCTTCAATTTGTGCTTTGTAGTTGCATTATTACACATTGTTTTCCCATAGGCAACCTATTCATCAATTAATCTAAAGGTTTGTAAAACCCTATATTAGATATGATGTCCCACACTCAAACAAGTGTCTGTGGAACAGGTTAAGCTTCTCTAGTGATACTATAATCATTTAATCCTATTTCTGGACACAGAAGAAATGTAAATGCAGCATGGCATGCTGCAAAGCTGAAGACGTAACTTAAGGATACTTCTAATTAAGGATAAGGCAAATTTCTTTTAAGTCGTTCTTTGTATTTTTTTTTCAGGACAGCCGCACCGACCACGAGAACATCACGTGACCGTCACGTGAACATTGATGACTGTTAAGCATGCGCAGACATCTATAAGTGTAAAAGTTCCGAACTGTGGCTTTTTGGAAATAAACTAGTTGTTTGTCTCACTGTTGTAGTTTGGCACTAAGAGCAAGAGGATGTTTGATGCCGGGAGAAATAAAAGGAAATATGAGGAATGTCATGATTGTTTGTGCCTTTATTTATACTCGATACATATCTACAGATAGATTACCCCATTCGGCCATCTTAAACCGCTTTTCATGCGGATCGAGTAATTGTGAGAGAGGCGTCAGGTGGTCAATAAATTATGATAAAATATCTTTGATGAGAGTCTGAAACGAAATAAAGAATTTAAATCCCGTTAGGAGAATGGACGGAAAATCGATTTTATCATGTACTGTACATGTTTAGAATTTGGTGTATAAGTCCTGGCATCATGTACATGTACAACTACATAGTGTATACAGTGCTACATACCTGCCACATATAACTCTTACTGTGTCATGGACGTCTTCTTGTATGTGGAAATATTGCTGGAAAACACTGTTAAGTGGACGTATATGAACGTGGTGTTGGATTCTGCCCAAACCGTTGGTTCTCCAATGGGGACCATAATGTACAATACTGCTTTATCAATGTACCGGAAAATGTAAACGAAAAATGTAACGGAAACGAAAGCTCATTCCCCGCCCGCATATGTACGTACATCTAAGTAGGTCAATTGATTGCAATGCGTAACAGTGCGTAAAAGCTTCAAGCAGACAGGTTAATTCCATGTCATGTCCGGTTGATGATTACTGTCCAAATCGCTCCACATTTGTCATTCTGGCTACACGCGGCTTTTTCTCAGAAATAGAACACTGAACATGGAAATACCCACAGAAGAAGGTTGACTATTAGATATACGGAGGAACATACAATTTCAAGGGTACCAAAAGTGGTGTGTTTCATGATGAAATCGTGCATTTATAGTATATGTAAGGGAGCACATAGGAAGCACACAAACGTTGAAAAGTAACGAAAAAGAAAGCTCCTCCCCACACGTGTACGTTGTACTACATATAAAAGTAGGTCAACGATACCAGCATAATGTGTAAAAACTCCAGACTTTTTAATTTTAAACACTACGTCCGGTCATAAATATTGATGATTACTTCAACTCTTAGCTCCATAAGATTTCTCAGAAATGGTTACAATGAATATGGAAACACCCACAGAACATGGACATCAGAAGGCTAATAGAGCTTCACAATCCTATATAAAGGCTGCAGCCCGCCTGACATCAGAGCACTTGATCTACAGAACTTCAAGGACGTCAACCCGGCTGTACTCCCGTCTTCAGGATGAAAACTACCCTGGTACTGCTTCTGGCTGTGCTGGTCATCTCGTCTGAAATTATGACCGCTGAAAGCCATTTCAGGCTTGGAAGGGCACTTGGTAAGGAAACCATCATTATATTTCACTACATACCAAATATATGAATGAAATATATTGTTTTTTTTCTCATTCGTCTTTACTGTACAAACTCTCGCATGTTTGAATTTTTGAATGTGTTGCAATCGAGCCGCTCGTACTCGTAGAAAACGCTGCCACGCTATACCTTTAGATCCTTGTCAGTGGTTGGTTCTTTCACAGACTAGAGCATCAGAATCGTACGATCGCCTACGCGAAAAGACACCATGTTCGAAAATGTTTGTGTAACTGCTTTGCATTAGGTGGACAAGACATGATCAAGATAATGTTGTGTAATTGGCTTTTTTCTATTCCAACATTTATTACAAGACATGGTGACGGCAACGGCACACTCAAGTTTTTTTTCCAACATATATATATTTATGTCACCTGCAGCCACCACCAACGCAAAAATATGCATGAATGGACAACAAACATACTAATTTTCACCCGAGTAAAGTGAGGAAATTCGTGTAAAGTGCCTTTTCCAATGGCCCAAGGTCGGTGGCATGGCAGGACTCGAACTTGGGACCTCTTGGTTCTGAGCCGAACGCACGGTCATTACGCTACACGACCAGAACATTCGTTACGCCACACGATCGGACCCACTGGCTGGTTGTTTAGTTGTACTCCTAGGGTCTTCTTTGAATAGCGTGTTTTACTTTCTTTACCTCAGAGCGTGCTTCCAAGTCTAACCGTGAGGAAGTGACGGCCCTGAAGTCGTTGTTGGCCGAGGCTGAACGCCGCGAGATGGCCAGGGAGCTGGAGAAACGGGACGTGGACGACGCCATGGCGGACATGATGGAGGAAACGGAATGAAGAAAATGTAAGTACAAAGGACATTCATTCTTTAATGCTTAGGTCACAATTCAAGAAAGGGGCCCGCTCGGCGCGTGTTCGGCGTGTTTTTTGGCACTACCGAACGGGACCTGGACGGAGACCGGCGGGCTTCCCGACGGCTGCCGGCCTATTTTTGGCCCCGCGCGGTCGCCGAATCGATTTTAACTCAGAGTTAAAAACACTTCGGGCCCCGTTCGGCGAAATACGCCGAAGCGACGCCGTAACCTCACTGCCCGGAACCCGTCGGGCGGCCGAACAGGCACCTGCCTAAGATTATGACGTCACATGTGCTGATAAGTGCATAAGGTGGTAAGAAAAATGGGGTTATATGGGACATATGTAACCTCCTTGTTCAGACTACGTCGCACATTTCAACACGCGTGTGTTACACCGTGTACTTGTGTGTGTTACACCGTATACTTGTGTGTCAGAATGCCGATGGGCAGTGGAAAACAGCCGAGACGATAGCCCGGCATACATGTACTTCAGAACAGTGACATTGTGTCGCATGTGGGCTACCCTTAAGGGAAACTCCAAGGATCGGTTGCTGTTCCCGGTCGCCAGGAAACGTAGGGTAATGGCGAGTTTTAGGCCTGCTGGCAAGGGCTGTCTGGCACTGGATAGAATTAAACAGAAGTGTTACATACAGACTGGACTGTAATATCTAAATTTCCTGTTATTATATAACATTATGGATACATTGAAATGTGTCAAGAAGTAGAGGGCATTCACCAAAAAAGCACTTGCTCCGGACTTTTCTCGATGGATGGGCCTACACGTTGTAGGGGGTCGTGAAACATCTACTAGTTTTTAAAGTCGCAATGATGGCAGGCAGTGTAACGCTTATATATATATATATATATATATACCTGCTTACAAACACAACGGGATCCCGCCAGGGACGCGCCAGGATCCCCCCTGGACCCCGCCAGGGACCTGACAGCTGCCCGGCCGAACTGTAAAAGCCGGTCGGCACCCTACCGCAAGCCGCACGGGTCAAGACGGGAGACTGACCGGGCACCGGACGGGTCCCTGACAGAAACCGGCCGCCAAGGGGATCAAAAGTTTATGAATATTAATTAGAAGCCACCGGCCGGAGCACAACCAGGCCCCGACAGGGAGCCGTAAAGGAACATTTAATTGTGACCCTGACAGTCGGCGCACGCTCGGCGTCATGACGCCGGCCGGCGTCTACACCGAGGACATGCCGAACGGGCGCCGTTTCAAATGTGACCTAAGCATAAGTCGTGCTTTGTAGTTGCATTATTACACATTGTATGTTTTCCCATAGGAAATCTATTCATCAATTAATCTAAAGGTTTGTAAAATCCAATATTAGATATGATGTCTTATACTCAAACAAGTGTCTGTGGAACAGGTTAAGCTACTTTAGTGATGGTAATTTTTTTATTCTATTTCTGGACACAGAAGAAATGTAAATGCAGCATGGCTGCAAAGCTGAAGACGTAACTTAAGGATGCGTCTAATTAAGGATAAGGCAAATTTCTTTTAAGTCGTTCTTTGTATTTTTTTTTCAGGACAGCCGCACCGACCACGAGAACATCACGTGACCGTCACGTGAACATTGATGACTGTTAAGCATGCGCAGACATCTATAAGTGATAATGTTACGAACTGTGGCTTTTTGGTAATAACCTAGTCGTAAGCCCTACTGATGTAGTTGGCACTAAGAGCAAGAAAGAAAAGAAGAAATATAAGGAAATATGAGGAATTTTGATGAATGTCGTTGTACCGACTATATAATGTTATGTAGAGTTACTGTATTGCGTCTTACTAACGTTACTTGCACGAAGTTTGCATGCATTTTCTCCACCACCTAAAATTATTATAGTTCTAACTCCAACTGGTTGCTTTAAACTAAAAATCATGACAAATTGTAATATTGCATGCGATTTCGCCGAATTATGCAATATGAATTTGGATATATTTCAGAGCTGTTCAAATATTCAGTCATATTGCCTTGCCATAAAAGACGGCGAATAAAATTTTGAAAACTTCAAAGGGTTTTTTTGTGTGTCAATTCATGAAATCGAAGATACGTTTATAGGGTAGGGAGGAAGTAGCAAGTAGAAGCAAAAATTTCTAGACTCTAAACTTAAGCTACAAGCAGCTTTCTCAGAAATGGAACTGGCGTCGGAACAGTTTGTTTATTTATCAGGATCTCCATTAGGCCACACCAATTCAATTTCTTGGTTAACGGATTTTTCTAGAAAAATAATGGAGCGGGCGGGCGAAAAAAAGTAAAAATAAAAACAGGCCTAGGCATCCTATTATGGCCGAAAATGGTACGATAGGAGCCATGAAGTCAACACACCAGGCTGGTTCAAAATTTAAACAATGAATTTTTAACTTCTAATGATACCATTGTAATGAAAGATGGAATAACTGTAACAACTAGGACGAAAAGGACTGTTTCCAACTGTTCTGGGCAAAATATGAGCATTTTGCAGTTGATTCTGGATTTATATTTTTATTTGCAAATCTGAAAAAAATGAAGCGGCGAATCCGTACGTTAACCAAGGAATTAAATTGGTGTGGCCTTAGTGCAAATTTGACACTATTCTTCCTGAAGTCCGCAGTGCATCACCAACTTTCGGATAGTTGTATTTGGACCATCACGTACAGGAGAATGCCCCTGTCTTTTTCGAATTGTGTGATGGGTTCTTTGACTTGCGTGGAGTATGAATCTCCCAAACACGGGACCTTAATTTACACGTTGTATCCGAGGGACGTCCTTAACCAAAGATAGGTACTCTGCTCATTTTGATCCCACCTGCGCCACGTATGTGCGATTCGAATCACATTCTAATTATATACAAGGAAAATCTGAGATTTTATACCGCCGGGTTGTTTATTGTATTTCTACATGTTGTTTGCTATGTGTAGTTGATGGTGTTAAATTTGATGTGTTTAGCGTTCCAGGTTGTGTTAGGTGTTGGATATAAATTTTGGCACAAGTTCTGTATCCAAATCCGCTGCCTCACCGTCCGATCACGACAGCCTAACCATATTCGAACTTAACATACCTCTTCACAACCGCTACTCACCTATCAAATATCATTCAGATTCACGTGTTATGTTGTACAAAAAAAAACAATTCATAAAAAGCCTGCTGCAGTACCGTTGGGAACGCCAGGTGAACCATTTTGCTTGAGCTACGTTTCCACAACCGCTAACCACCAACAAAAATCATTAAGATCCATACACAGCTTCTAGAACAGTATAAGATGCTGCTGATATACAGACCCACACCATTGCCAATACGAAAACATATTAACCTTCTTGTCGAAGGTAACTAGTGTGTATTTAAGAGTGAGAGGGTCATACGAGTGGGACTTTACTATAGTTGGGAGGTCATTTACCTGCAAGTTCAAGAGGAAGGGACAACCGTGTCTATATGGAGGTGTTTTTTTCAGTAAATTACACAAGCCTACACATCAACACATAGCCTAGATCTAGTTCGATACAGCCAAATATGCAAGGATAAAAAAAAAACAATTTCACATGCGGATGGTAAAGCAAACTATTATTCTTGCAATTTGCTATGAAGGCTTTTTCTAAGCCACGGGTGCCAGTTGAAATCCACATTGTGTCTATAATGTCATGTGTATGTACCGTCTGAAATGACGGATTCCATGTAGTAGTGGTAGTAAATGGTTTATTGGTAAAAACATGGGACAAATCGGCCTTGAAGTATTTTACATTCCACATACTCAGTAAAACTAACACTAGGCTAATATAATACATATACAAGTATATACAAGTAACGTTCAATAATTGTCAACATGATTTTCCATACTATAAATCACAAAACAGTGTACAAAACAAGCAGTCAATTCTTTCCTTTCCTTTACAAATATCATTGAACTCTCAAACATAGTAGGAAAGTCTATTGCATAACACAAACGGCCCTAACAGGCTATTCTGTTGTTTGAGTTCGTACTTAGTTTTTTTTTTATTTATTCACATATATTTATTGAGTATTGGGCAAAAAGCAAAAGTTGCTTATATAACACCTTCTACTCATAAACATACAACGAGTATAAAACATATTGACAAGATACATGCATAATTACAAGGTGGATAAAACCAAGATAAATACAAACAAGACAAGTTGGTGATCTATCAATTACGAGAATCTACCCGTACAGTAGATGAAGTTTTGAACCAGACCGAAAACACTACAGTTTTGTAGGTGTGAGAGTGTTGTGGACCCTCGAAGGAATGAGGAACATAGGGAACTATCATTGAGATGCTGTAGCTCTACTATGTTGGAGAGAGTCTTTGACTGGAATAAAGTTTACAATGTAGAAAAGTAGTGTTAAGTTGTTTCACTATGATAGTCACATTTACATGTACATGTAGGCTAGTCAATACAATAATGTTGAAATAGATGGTAGTTTAACTGACTGAAATTAAGACGGAGCCTTGTGTGATGAACAGCGGAGTGTCTTTGGCCATGAGAGAAATGGAAGTGTTTTGTCGGTCTGTTGAGTAGTGAATCCAACACATTTTGAAAGATGTTAAGTCCTTTAGTTGTCAGAGTTGTTCATCAGACAGTCCGTTAGCCATGACTATGTAGTCCAGTAGTTTTCTGTACTGCTCCAGGTTGTCCATGAAGCTGGGTATCCTGGTGCCGTCAGCCTGCATGTGTTCCTGCAGTCTCCCCATGTCCTGCCAGGACACTTTACCCATGCGCATCAACTTGTGGAAGTCGATGTCTTTTCTGTACCTCAGGATCTCCAGGGCGCCTTCTAGATACACCTGGTCCTTACAGAAACAACCTGTTTCAAGAAACAACAAGAAATATGCAAAAGTGTTAATAAACTTTATTGTACATTCATGCCCTATCGGGCTAAGTACATGTGAACAGATGAAATGGTTTATATACATGTTTGTAGTACAAACAGCTCTAAAACTACACTAATACAGAGGTCCGGCTTCTTCTCGTTTCTTTGTGATGTTAAAAATATAATTTCAAATGGGTTTGTTTAATACAGGATGATCAAAGCGCATAAGAAAGATAACTTTTTAATAGCAATATATCAACTATGACACACAGACCCTGTCCTGGTTATAACGGAAAGATATTAGTCGATCACTTTGTTTGTATAGTACATTTAATGTGAATTCTACTTCATGTTTTTTGCTTATAACGTTATAATCCAGGGATAGGGTTAGGTTTTTCAAAACAATATTGAAAACAGAAATATGGAACCGTCTGTTGTATAGCAATCGAGGTGGACAAAAGTGATAATGTCCACAGATACACATACATGTACAATTGACATATCGTAATGACTGAATGAACGGTCTTAATCGCATGTTCTTTCCAACATGGGCTAAATGCAATAGTTATACTATTGGAACAGAGTCTAGAGGTAAAGTATCATTACCTGTAGAGTTGATAGTTAAAACAAGGGTTAGACTAATCCAAGCATCTAAACCTTGTCACCATTGCGTACATGCTAGATCTATCAATGGAAATAAGAATTCGGAGATCTCATACCTCCATGAAATATATGAGTTTTGACTATGGAAATAAGGTGGTAATTAGCATAACCTAGTTTAATTTAGGGTTCTCTAAATTCAAATGACCATATTTTTCTTGCAAACTTCCTCTCCTTTTAATTTCATACTTCATTTCAACATATCCTCATTTGACCCATATTTGACCTTGACCTTCATCTTCCTAAGACTTACCATCATACCAAATATCATCACAATCCACAAAGGCGTTCTGAAGTTATGCTGACTACAAATGTGCAGAAACTCAAACAAACACACACACAGATACACACTTTTGATACAATATAATGAATTTTGGAAACGTTTATTTCAGACAGAAGAAATGACAGACTACCAGGTCACGTTGACTTACCTGGCAGAGAAGTGTCTATCTGTCCACGTTTGGCCCTGAGCACATAGTCCCAGCGTACATACGGGTCCCGGACAAACCTGCCCAGGTCTTTGAACAGGTTGGAGAAGGACATCTGAGAAGCCCTGTAGGCCGTGTAGTACAGGAGAGCGGCCCGCCACAGGAAGGGGTGCCGGCGGTACAGGACGCTGTGCAGGCTGGCCAGACCCTCCTCCGTAGGGTTGACACTGAGAAGCCCGTATTGCCGCCGGCCCTTCCCGCCATGCCACGGCTGGAGTCTGTTGTTATAGCTCCGGAGGTAGTGAGTGCCTTCATGCAGAAACACACTTTTATTAGAGAGAGGGAGAGAAATAGAGATTAAATAGAGAGAGGCCGGTATAGAAGGCTACCTGTATGTGAAAGAATGTGTAAATATTGTAATACAAAGGCTGTGGAAGACTAAATGAACTTTATCTCAAATTGTTAATTTTATAACAACGCTCGAAATGAGCTGACTATTCAAACTTCTACAATTTCTCCCAACTTCTCTAAACTCACAGACAAAGAAAAAACTATTCTTCTGTTAACTTCCCAAAACCCACAAATTTTGGAAAAGGTGGGACATTACGTCTACCATGGTTTACAAAAGAGAAGTCAAATCCTTCAGACATAGTTTTACACATAGCTATAGTTTTAGTCAACTACTTTTCATTATGTAGATATTAGTTATGTATAATCTGTTTCAATTTTGCAATTAACCTCCCGGCACGAATTTGCAATAAACTTCTCTCATTAATAGAAGACAAACATGTCATCTCTCTCCCGGGCACGTAGATAGATATCACCCAGCAAGACATAGTTTGTTGTAATGTACAGACTTTAGTGTATTCAGACCATCTACCAGTACATTGTCCAGATCCCTGATTTGTGCCGTATGTACATGTATTAAGTTAAAATGTCTTTTACAAAATCCCACTAAGTTCTCCGTTAACGGCAAAATTACTGCCCGTGTTTAAAGACAAAATGACTACGTGTGTTTCCCCTTATCATAACATCATGTTTTCTGCAGCATTGCTAGCTGCCTTCAGTTCGCCCAGTTTGGTGATAAAAATGGGTCAGCCAATCTAATAATATTTTACTGAGT